TTTGGGACTTCTCCACAGTTCCATGCCTGTCTTTCATCTGTTTTGAAATGCACAATTTGATTTCTTTAGAGACTTATAAAATTAAATCTCTGTGACAGTGTAGACATTTCATAGAATTGACAATAGCCTGAACAAATTCATACTGCTTGTAGGTACAATGGGGGTATGTTCTGCTTTCTCTCCAAAAGTGGATTACCAACTTGATAGGCTAATAGTCATACCTGATATTGCATACTTTACACAACATTCTTAAAATAAATTCAGTCAAATTACTTTATGCATCAGGTAAGTCTTTCAGAAAGCTCTTACTCTCTATGCTTCTTTCCCTCAGCAAACCACCAAAGATTATGTTTCTTTCTGGGAGTGAGAATACCTTTCACATAAAGTTTCAGACTTGAAGATGATGATGCAATTCTACTCTTGAGAAAATAATACATAGGTTTTTCTGAAATCAAGGCAGTAAGTCTTTAGATAAAGTCAGAAGCAATATTTGGTCATTATCTCTTGTTGGCTATCAGATGAAGAATTATGTGAAGAATGCAGTTAGCAGCTGCTGCTTTCAGTCTAAGTCAGGTTCCCAGTATTGTTTGTCCCTGAGATTACTGTCTGGAAGCAAGAAAATGTTATTTGATTAAGTTCTTTTCCCTAAAAAAAAAAATAAAATAGAAATTACTCCCTGTTTTAAGCATGTAGCTTAGATGTACGTGGTTAAACACAGAGGAAGACATTTCTTAAAGGAGGTTTGCATTTTTGCTAGGGTTTTTTTTTTTGGTGCCGGGTGGGGGGTGTTCTTCAGATGCTTTAGGTCATACATAAAGATCTTTTTCATTACATTATCTGTTTTTTCTTAGCTAGAAGCATTAAACTACTTCAAGTTATTAACTTTTCTAATGATATTGTTTGAAGATTGAAATTGTGACCCTTTAAAGCTGATGGCAAACATTGCATAATATAGTTGTTAAGTCTCTGTAGAGACAACATGAAGAGACCTTCTAGAGACTGTCCTAGGATCTTAGGAAAATTGACAAAAAAAGCAAGTGCTTGATTAAGTGGGATAATCCTGGTGATACATATACAAAATTCCAGCTTTTGTGTCTCATCTAAACAGCACCTCCCATTTGTTTTCAGTGTAATAATTTGAGATATCCAAGTGGAATTCATTGTCACATTAGAAGGTTTCCAGACCATGCTGTATCTCCATTAAATACTTGGGGTGACTTTCTTCCAGCAGTTCAGGTACTTTGGGGGAGAGGGTTGTAATAGGGTAATAAAAATGCTGGAGCCCCATCTAGTGCATGAACATTTAACACTGCTAGAGAAGTTATAAAACGTGTCGGAGCGGAGAGGGTGGAAGGCAATCCCACTAGTGGGAAAATTTTAACCTTTTTGTAAAATAACTTCCATTACTACATCAGTAGTGGATTGGAAGAGAAAAATGTAAAAAGTAGTGGTCAAACAAAGGTTTATTTGGGGAAAGTGATTCTTTAAAGGTTAATTTTATTATGCCTTAAAGAGATTGCATATATTAAAAGATATAAAAATGTTAAAAGATTTAACTGTCTTAGAACCAAAGTTTGAGCAGTCCAGTTGAAGTCTGAAAAATCACTGTGAGACCAGGACGTGTTTAATGCATTTAGGTTAGATAAACCTGATTAAATCCAAGTACATTTGACCTTGCCCTGTTTCTTGTTTCCAGAAAAAAAATTGTTAACAAACAGAAAGACTGGGACTTCTGGGTTTGATTGTGCAATTTAGGAGTGTTGGTAAAATCCTGATTCCATGGAAAGTCAGCAAGACTGTTTTCATTAATTTCATTTGCATCAGCTTTCACCCTTGGCTTTTGAGATTAGTTTCCCTCAGAGAGCAAGGATTTGCTGTCCCTGTGAACCTGAACTTCCTTGCAAAGTTTTGGAAAGAAACCCTTTTAGAAAATTAGCGTTTTAAGTATAAGGGGATGGCCAATAGTCTCTTTTTTTCCACCAGAGAAGAGGGAAGTTGCTTCTGAGATTCTGCCAGAGTCCATTTTAAAATAAAATAGATACAGTGCACTTTTTGAACTCTTGAAAGGTGGGGCAAATACTGTTTTTAGTCAGTGTGCATTTTTTTTATGCATAAATGTTTCATTAGAAAAAAGGGCATTTTTCTTCTAAACAATTCTCCTTGACTGGTTGAAGTAATTTTCCTGGGTATGTACATAATCATTGAAAGAATAATAAGATTTTGTAAAATAAGAAAATCTGAAATACTAGTGCTATTTTAGGAAGTTCAGTGCATCAGCATTTCTAGCAGTATAGAAAGCTACACCTATATAAAAGTCAGGCTTCATTAGTATTTTTGACAATTATGCACATAAATTTGAGTATGAGTATCAAATGGAAATAATTTGTTTATTAATGAACATGTTATGCATGCACATGTTAAATGCTTTATTGGACAAAAAGCTAATTAGGGCTAATGCTCTGAATTTTTGTTCACAGTTTAAGTTTATCTTGACCAGCCTATGGTCAGAAATGGGCATCACGCAGTGTTTTGTAAGACACGTGAATTTATAGAAGGACTAAGAATATTACAAGCCTGATGGTGATGATGTCACTGCAAGTACAATGTATTAAAATATATTTATCTTTTTCAGTGTTAGTAACTAAAATTAGCTATAGGGGATTTTTAAGATCAAAAACTTACTGTGATGTTTTTCTCCCCTAAAAAGTATTGTCTTATGTAGATCTGTACTAGTACTACAAGTTATTTATTTCAGCATTTCATGCAGCCTATGATAACTTGTTCTACAGAAAGTAAGTTTTCATTCTAAATATGGAAGCTTTTTTAATGTAATCTCTGAATTATAAGAAATTCTTCCCTGTTTTCTGTAAAGCTTTAAATAGTATAAGCATGGTTGTGTTATGCCCTCAGAAGAACATCTTCTCAGCTCTAGTTCTGAATTAGAATGCAAAAATCAAAAATTACTTAACTCAAACTGATGTGTCATGAGGACAAATAAACTGTTATGCAAGCAAATAAAAAAATGGGTTTTGCTATAATCTAAAGAAATTAAATTATTTCTATTGAACTCATCAAATTCTTGTATCTGCTAGAGTGCTTTAAAATCACAGTCATTTGATTAATGAGTTTCTTTTAAACAACACAACTGTAAAAAAAAAGGAAATAAGATAATGTCATCCCTATTGCACATTAAACAACTTTTTATTGTCTAGTTATGCTTCAGCATGTAAATACACTAGTAGCTTATAATGCAATGGTTATTAAATAAAAAATACTGTGCCAAGTAGTATTGGCCTTGAGGTCAAAATCAGTATCATTGATTGTTGTGGGAGCCACACAGTGATCCATATGTCCATGTGCAGATCATAGGACCTCGCCCAGCATCCCAGGAACGGTGCAGGGGTTGGTTTAAACTCCAACACAAGCAATTGTGTGTACCTCATCAGGGTCTAGTAGGTTGCTTCTAAGCTGCTGTTTCTTCAGTATTCACCACTTCATTCTTGTAAGGAATGATGGGAAGCTTCACACCCTGATTCCATCATTCTCAGCTATTGCTCCCCTCCTTCCACCTTCTTCTCCAAGAGAGTTTCCTGAAGTCTGTTTGTTTCAATGGTCAGGTTTAAAGTGGTGTCCCACAAATACTTTTACTGATGCATATTTATGGAGCAGGTGAGCATGTTGCAGATGGGAACTTCTTAAACTAGATTTGCTGCCAGATCTAGCATGTTGTATAATTACACCTTTGCTAGCACGGCTATGCTGTCGCTCATTTGAACACCTTGCTAGATAGGAGGCTTTCTAGTTGCTCTCTTGGAAAATGTGTCGTTTGTAGGCTGTGTAAATATGTCTGCAGGCCTGGCAGAAATTGTAATTGTGGGTGATGTTTCTACAATCTGAGCCCAAACACAAGTCATGGATCTTTTAGTAACCTGTCATCCAGCCCTGTGCTTGTCCAACATGAAAGTGAGGGGACAACTTCAAACACAGTTGTGCAGGTGACTGTGACTTTGAAATGTTGTTTCATTCATACATTGGAAAAAAAATTATTTTACTCTCCTATTGTTCTTCCTGTTCTGCCTGTCCAAGAGTAATAATGTAGGTGTTTTTCACTTCTGTGGTTTGATTTGATTGTGACTACACAAGAACAGATAAACTGAGAAAAAGGTACCACTTTTACATCTTCAACTTTCAGAATATAGCTCAGCTTGGGAGCATTTAAAGGACAAAATTGAACTTCAATGATTTAGCCTAATCAGTCTTTTAGTTGCTGGAAAAATGAATGCTGATGTCCTGAAATAAAAGAAAACCCCACCATTTGCACCAAATGAGGTAGTTGGAAGATACTTTTGTACAACAAACAAGCTTCAAGATGTGTAAAAGTAACACTGGGAGCTAGATTTTCAAATTTCGAAACAGCAAGAGCTGTGAAATACTATTCTGTATGTGCTCCATTGTATCACAGAGTTTAAGAGATCGCAGAATGATGTTTGACCTTATTTCTACCATGTGCCAAGCTCTAATTACAGACCTGATGTTGCTCAAGTAAATGTGCAGATTCTATATTAGATTGTAGAATTTCTGCAGCACTTGTAGAGAGACTGTTTGTTATTATAGGAATTCTAAAAAATTCAGGAAAATCCTAAAGGTAACTTGTCCAGGTTTTACCATCCTGCTCCAGTAGTCATAGTTGTCTTTAATGTATTCTCTGTGAACTATTAGGGGATATGAGAGTGAGAGTTTTGGGATCAAGGTAGCTGTCAGCATTTGAGAATTGAGTTTGGGTGGGGTTTTTTAATTCAAATTGGTTGGCTATGAATGCTATTTGTAACGAATTATCTTTTTGCTACGTGTTATTTTAGGGGAATGAGAAGGGAAAAAAGTTGTTTATTTTATGTGTGTTTATATATTGGAAACTTGCTATAAATTGCCATCAAGGACAGTTCTGTGCATACACCATAGCTCATGTGAAAAATTTAATGCGTTTCTATTTCCATGTTTAGATATTGCAAATGGCTCCAGTTCAGGAGGATACCGCCCCCCTCCCAGAACAAAAGAAGTGATCATCAATGGACAGACAGTGAAACTAAAATACTGTTTTACTTGCAAGATTTTCCGCCCACCTCGTGCCTCACATTGCAGCCTTTGTGATAACTGCGTAGGTGAGTAAAAAAAAAGATATGGTGTATGTTCAGTTTAGTAGCTTATATATTATTATGAATACTTTTGATACGGGAGAAAATAATCACTTAATGACAAGATTACTCATGAGGTCACTTGCTGTGTTCATCCTTCTTTCCTACAAGCTCTGTTAAATGTTAAGAATTTTAGAGAAGGCAGAAGAGATTTGGCCTGACAGATAGTTGTTGCTAGTCTAGGTAGGAAAAATACTTTCTGATGCATATATATTTCCTAACCCACTCCGCAAGAGAAAGAACACACCCAATTCAAATAAGGCTGCATAGTACGTACTATGAACTTTCTAGTACGGGGAGAACAAAGCTTTACGGGAGTCTCAGAATTGTTTCCTTCACCAAACTGAATTGAGGGCAAGGAGTTGCTTCTTCAGTCTATTTCAGACTAACTGTAAGGCGCAGTTCAAATGGCCAGGGCTTAAACTGTGACCAGAATATACACTGTAGGTGATTCTTACCTTTGAACAGTTCTAAGACTAGAAATTTTAAAGTCAGAAACCATAATAAATTACTGGGCAAGCATGCTATTTTGAGAGTAAGTAGATGATGTCAGGACTTAAGGATATTTTGTAATGATAGGGTTGGTTTTTTTCCCTCTGAACATCTTGTCTTTTTTCATGTCTATTTTCTTTGGAGAGCAGACAAGGTGATTAAGATATGCTTGGGTTTAAAAGCACACCAAAAAACCCAGCAGTCAAATCTGAGTAGTCTTCTATTTAATTAGATCACATTTAGAGTTTAGTGCACCTGATTAGCACGCTGTTGAGTCTGGATCTTACACATTCAAGAAAATAATGTAGAAAGATGTTTCCAGCTGAGAAATGTAATTGCAGCATTCAGCGGTGATATTTTTAGATATAAAGCAGTCATTGGAAGAATTACAGTTTCATGTTTAGAAGATATTCATTTAGGGAGTACACTTAAATCAGAGTGAAAAGTTTAGCCTTTTGGCCATATCCAATCGATTATTATCTGTAGATGGTTCCTTCAGTAAATAAGTTTTTTCTGATGTGTTAGAATTTTGTAAGTATTGTAAAAGCTATTGAACTTGGCAAGTAGGGATGTTTATGAATTGCTGTCTGACACATTTTCAGAAAAATATTATGTGTGTAACCTGGACATGACAGTGTTGTGGTATTGCTCAGCAAACCTGATTATGTGAAAATGCAGTTGCTGACCAGCGCAGTAAATAAAAGTTAAAGGTGGTTGTCTTTACCAAGGGTGTACATAAATAACAGCAACTCCCACACACACATCCTGAAGCTTATTTTAAAATAGTATTTCAGCCTTTTTAATAAACTGATATGAAGGATTTTTCTACAGGTTATACTGTAATCCGATTGTGTCTTTTTCATACTAAATTTGGAAAACCTACTCTGGAAACATACAATTAGTGATTGGGGGGGAACAACTTAAACAATCGTTGTCTTTTTATTATGTCTGTGATGAAGCAACAGATGTAAATTATTATGAATGTATATCAGAAAAGAGTCTGAGCAAATGAATCATTTCAGTGATAATTGTATCCAAGGAGATTAGTCTTTTCTGCTAATAAAATAGGTATGATCATTGTAACTTCCTCTTGCACACCTTTTTAATTTGAAGTTATTTGTTTTAAAATAATTCCATCCATTTATTGGAATGAATTTGCTGTGGTTTTTCTCCTCAGTGTTTATAATGGGAATTACAATGAACTATGACTCTTTCAGGGTACATTGCATAGTGCTTTTGTTTCCTGATTAGGTTCAGGTAGTTGTCATATAAATATTTAGCTGTATTGAATGCAAAAAGTGAAATCTACAAGTACCTGCAACTAATTTTCTGTTGAAAAATAGGTGTCAAGAAAATGAGATTGCTCATGTACTTGTGGAAAACTAACAGTCTAAGAACATACACTTAATCAGAATGTGTTATGCAGTTTACTTCCACTCTTAAGTTAGGATTGTCTTCATGGTGATACTTTTATTTAATTTTAGTTTGTGAATGAATCTTATAATAGCAATGAGTGTTCTTGTGCTACTATCATTTGCTAGTTCCTTACTGATGTAACTAAATCAGTGTAAAAATATTCCTACTTCACATGCATGCAGATATTTAAGTAACTTACAATTGCAACCCACTACCACTATGGATATGAGTTCTTTTTTACCACATAGTTCCTAAAGCTTTTGCTGCGTAGTTATAAACTCACTACAGAGACTATGGGGTACAAGAATGGAGTCTTTCTTCAAACCAGCACTCACTGCTCAGAAAAAACAGTATGTTACTTTTACCTAAAGGTGTTTTATGGTACTGGACAAGTGAATGCAGTGTGAAAGAGAGGTTCTTTCATTCTGTATTTTCTAGCGATGCTTTTCTTTCTGTAAGGAATCCTTAGCAGCATTTTAAATATGTAACTACATACAAAAATTTATTAATCGTTGGTTCTCTCCCCTTTTGAATTAATCCTAACTTTCTAGTTGTCTGGTAAGCATATCTGTTACTTGACTTTGTTTCTGATTTTCAGTTCATCACTAAATTCTTTATAAATGGATACATAGTATATTTAGATAAAACTATGAAGAAACAGCTATAGAAAAAAACCAAACTAAAACCAAACTAATTTGAGTTCTACCAATAGTAATACTTCAAACTCCTTTAGTTTTACAACATTTTCATAGTAGCATTCAGAAAAACCTGGATTTTCATAAAAATGCAGTTTGCATTTATATAATGCCTTCAAAAATTTGTTTGCCGTGAGGCAAATATCTTGGGTATATTTCTGACTCATTTTCCTTAACTGCCTTTGTGAATGGCAGTTGGAAGTTAGCTAAGAAAGCTCAAGGGTTTTCTGTGTACCATTTTGTTGCTTAAAAATTATAAATGAATTTAATGTACACATAAGCACAAGAGATAAAGACTTTAAAAAAAATATAACCACAGCAGACATAAGTTCTGAGCATATAGTTGAGCTAGTTATTGCTGGGTTTTGACAAGAGTATTTGATTGCACTGTGTGATGCTAGTAAGAAGCCAGTAGTTGGGCTTACTTCTGAAATTAGCAAATGACCTTTTTTAAATTTATTTTTTATTTCAACATCAACTGTAATTTCCTTTTTTGGTTTAATAAATGTTTGCCTTGTTTATTTTGGTATCTATAATAAAAGCTGAAAAAGGAGTTGATTATTTCCAAACAATTTATTTAAATGTAATACCAAATGGCTAATGAGAAACAGTGAATAATGATTAGCAAGCAGTAAAGCAACGTAGTCCAATAATTTAATTGTCTAAAGCCTTCCTTCACATGCCACAGTTTTGCTTATCAAGTGAAGTAACTGATTTAGACTAAGTATAGTATGGTGGAAGAAGAGATCCACCATTTATATTAATCTAAGAGAATATGGCCTTTTTATTTGTTTCAAAATCTGTATATCATAAGTTTGTGCATGATTGATGGATAAAGATAGCTTCTCTTTTCCAGATCCACTTGTTTCTTTCAACACACGATTTATTTATTTTTTCCACAGAGGATTCAAAGCTCAGATTTTTGAAATTGGATGTCACAACTTAACTTTGAAACGTTTAGTTTGATTTTTCAGAGATCACTGATGAACATGGGAGTGGTATACTAAGTCAGACCAAAGTTTCGGTTCATGCAGTAGCCTGTTTCCCACCATGGCCAGAGTGGATCCCTGGGGAAGAACAGGAAGAGAGGGCGAGCATGCAGGGCTGCTTCCTCCTGAATATTCTTACGCTCTCAGAAGTTTTCAGCATAGGCCTTCTTGAACCCTGGGGAGTTAGCTCTTGATGGATGCTAGTTGGCCTTCTTTGTACCTAATAGAAACCTCCTGAGATGGGGAACCAGGATGCCAGTAGTGCTGAAGGCTCGCGTACCATACTGGCATTTTCTATCGATGTTTCAGTTTTCTGTAGGAGAAAGGATTCCTCCTACTTGGAAGTCTGACTGCTGTTCTGTAGGTCCTAAATGTGAGACCAGGTGTCAAGATTTTGACAGAAATTTTGACAGAAAATATGCTATATTAGAAGCCAATAGACTTCCGGTTTCTGGTTCTGCTTCTGTAAAGCACTTTTTCCAGGCAATTATAGGCATCAGCTTTCTGGTTTGGTCATGACTGTACTACATGAATTTATTGTTTTGAAAATACAAGGTATTATGTACCCAGCAGTATGCCAAACAGCAGAATTTGAATAAAGAATTGTTTTTAAAAGTAGCTTCTAAGATTAGGCACCAGTATTTCTTAAAATGGGGAATTAATTATTAAAACACATGTAACATATAACACATGCAATGTAAGACAGGGTGAGAATTATCAGTGTCGTCCAGGAGAAACTCTTCCTCGTAGTCGCTCTAGATACCACCATCTTCCAGCCTGGAGAACACAAATTACTTCAAAAACAGTCTGAGAAGTGGCATTGTAACCATTTGGTTTTTAGAACACTGACACTGTGTCTGAGAGTAATTTTCCCTTTATAATCAGGACTTCGTTTTGCTTGGTTTTAATTCCATTCTGTAGCACTCTTCCTTCATTACCTTATCTCCCTTCTTGCTTTCAGTTCCTTTTCATGATTTTTGTCTATGTCTTTCCTTACATTTCCTGCAATAAAGAGACTACAATTTTCACTTCATTTTGGGGCCTGACTTTTGAACCCGTTAAACCTTAGCTGTGGGTCTCTTGAAATGACTATTTAGCTGAACAGTTAAAACTACAAAGTTGACTGCTATGTCCTTTCTTTTTTTTTTCCTTTTTTCTTTTCTTGTATACTTTTCCCCCAGTTTTCACATGTGAGAAATGGCTTTGGCTCTTTTTTTTTTCTGCTACTTTCAGCACTTATTGAAGTGATACATTGTTTATGATTGTGCCATCTATATACTAGATGTACTTTAGAAATTCAGGGAGCATAGCATGTGTGTCAAAGAGTTTTTAAGTCTTAAGCCAAAGTATGGGTAAATATGGCAGAAAGTCTCTT